ACATTTATTTTAAGTAACACAACATATATTAGGTCATGTTTGTAAAACCAAAGGGAAACAAACAGAAGAGCATTAAGACACAACATTATTAATATAAAAATCAAGACAGCATATCAGCTAGTCAGGGGGAGCTAGCTAGCTGTCAGAGCCTGCTGAACTGCTACTCTTCGCGCCAAATGTATAATCTGTTAATTTGAAGCATTTCACAGCATCTACCTCTGCTTTTTTAAACGTGTAACTTTTCAGCTCCACCTTTTCTTTTCTTTTCTTCCCCTTTCCATCCATGGCTGTTTTAATGTTACGTCATAATACCTGAGTGTTCCATGGCGAATATTTAAATATTAACATGAGCGGAGTTGGAGTGGAATAAAGAAAGTGTTTAGCAGGATTGATATTCAAAACTGAAACGGTAAGCACGCACTCCTTTGTTAACGGTTTGTGTATCTGCAGCGGGCAGCGCCGGTTTCTCTTTTTGAATGTCGAATATAGACGAATATATCTGCAGAAATGGACAGTTATCTCATTTACACGCCGGCGCAGAACGCGCATGCTAGCTGTCAGTCGGCTGTAGTTCTCTCGGTGTGTTCAAGTCGGTTCAAGTGCAGCTTTTTTTCTTAAAAAAAGCGGATCAGTCGGCTTTCATTTGCGCGGCTTGGTGTGTTTCCAGGACGTGAAAAAGGGCGTTTCAATACACGCAATGGAGTAGACCAAACTAATTAACAGGGAGGGAGGGCAATACACTCACATGCATGCACACGAAACACACTCCTTGTCGGCCGCGCCCGCGCGATCGATTCCCTCATCCATTTGCGTAGAAAAGAAATGTAATATTATGATTTCCGTCATTTTTTATATATATATATTTTTTTATATATATTTGTTTACTGGGCCGGCCCACATTGGCCAGCGGCCCACCGGGAAAAGTCCCGGTGCTCCAGATGGCCAGTCCGCCCCTGGAAACGCCCCATAATCACAGCTCAATGGAGCCGCATCACACTCACATGCTGACTAGAGTCTGAGTATGACGACGTCAGGCTAGGATAGGACAGTAGCTAGACAGGAAGTGAGGTGGGAGAGAGAGAGGGGGGACGGGATCGGGAATAGTCCACGAGCCGGGACTCGAACTCGGGTCGCCCGAAGCACAACGGCGCTACATGTCGCGCGAGGCTATCGGCGCCGACATGCATGCTACTTTAGAGGCGGTAGTGTGCAGTACGCATGCAGCACACTACACTAATCATCTGTAGGTATAATACAGTATCCCACAATGCAACGCACTTTACTTGCCTAAGTGTCACGGGCCCACCGGTGGACTCCATTACATTTTTAAAACAGTAATATCCTACACTAAACCTAAACTTTCTTGACAAACTATATATCATTTGAAAGCTTACAGTCTCCAGTTTCCATATTTGGAGATTTATTTTCAAAATAAATTACAGAGGAGCTGTAATTTATCAATTTGCAACAAGCATATTTTCATATTGAAATTTTGACCTTTATTTTGAAATAGTGATAAACATGAAAAATCATGAAAGAAGGGTAGAAACCTCGGTTTGTTTTCATGCCAATAGTTCAAAAGATAGCATCCATTCAATTATTTTATAAAAAAATAAAAAAATAATAGATTCACCATTTGTGATGTGGCAGCGAGCTATAACGCACATACTTGTTCTTTTTATGTGTTTCTTAGAGGTTGAATTCATATCAAATTCTGCCAAACTTCTCATATTACTTCTGAATAGGCTGCCTACTTCATAAATTGTATGAAAATTGTGGAAATAATGGTTCATATCACTCAAAACACATTTGGAAATGGAGGCGCCCTTATATGGGCAGTAATGGAGTCTGGTTGTGCCCTAGTGGAAGCGTTCGGAACTGCGCCCAAGCACACTCTCACTGAAAGCTCATTTTTTGAGATATCAACCTAAAATTTGAAACACAACTTGTTCAGATTTTTGGCTTTGATTTTGTGCAGTCGCCCAGGTTTTAAAAATATATATTTTATATAAAATATGAATAATTAAATTTTTTACATTGTACATTTTCATAAACTCAAACTTCTATAACTTTTTTTCTGTTTCACTTTCTTTCTACGTCTATATTCCAAAGCATTCTTGAATTACAACCATTTAAGTTCGAAATGTGCATTTTCATGTATATTCAAAAAAAGGGGGGTGACACTTTACAGGTTAATTTCTGGTGCATGAAAAGTAAATAAAAGTACTGTATTTTGAACAGCTATACTGTTTTATTTAATGTTGCATACAGCATTTACATTAAAGCGTCATGAAGCGCCCCTGTTTTAGCCTGGGCGTTCAAAGCTGTGGGAAAGTGGGAGTGCAGAGGGTGGGAAGAGGGAAGACAACAACCAATAAAACACAGACCTGCAACACACTCATTATACACACACATGAATACTACATATCCGAATTTCTTTCTTTTACACAGAGTACTTATGGTTTACGGTCCCAGAAAACCATTTCATTGAATGTACCTCAAGCCCAGAGTCGTTCAAAAAGGCTTTCATGTTTGTCGCACCTTCTACTTGGAATGATCTACAGAAAACACTTAAACTACAGTGTCTAATTTCCTTAAATGATTTTAAAGGTTATGTTAAAACTATAGAACATGAGTCCATCCACACGTGCAAATGTTTTAACTAATGGCACTTTTATTGTACTTGAGTTCTCTTTGCCTCTTTTGTGATTGTGAGATCTAATTTGTTCTGCTATCTCGGCCAGGTCTCTCTTGAAAAAGAGATTCTATATCTCAATGAGACAAACCTGGTTAAATAAAGGTTAAATACATTTTTTAATTTTTTTTTTTAAAATATGACCACCGAGAGAAAAAAATAGAGTTGAGGGCACCTTGATGCATTTAAAAAATATAATCCTATTTGACGACAAACTACAAAAAACGAGGAAGAAACGCGGTAGAACACTTTTAAAATGTCTAATAATAATATATTAATTACATGTACGAGCACTACAGTCTATGAACAAACGGCACACGTCAGTTTAACACAAAAATGTACTTTTTTGTCCATTGTTCTTTGAATTTTCAGGTTTACATAATTGTCTTTTGTGTATCAGAATAATTCATCGTGTCGTCACGTTCATGATCAGACGTACGACTGTATCAATGTCCTTATTTACATATATTTCATTTGAAGAAGACATGCGCGCTGGTTCATGTTTAGAGCACTAGAGTAGCTATATGAAATATGTCCATAAAGACTTGAAGAGGTCTGTATCTGATCTATATGATCCACGTTGTTAAACTCATGTGCTCTCCGCATGTTGTTTGATTCTCCGCTGTAATGCGATGATCTCATGCGTAATACAGTGCAGCGATTGGATGGAACGAGCTCTTTCTCATGAATAATGCAGAGATTATCTCGAGGGTCAGCTGATGTAGAATCGAGCCGAGAGCCAATCACACACACCGGATGAACGCTTCTACCTCACATTCCCTGACGTACCTCGACTTTACTTTGCTGAGCGAAATTACTCAGACAAACGCAACAAATAACCAATTTCCACTTATTGATAAAATGCATGAGTGCTTTTAGTGTTTTCAGCAATTTACACATCTGTTCACATCTCAAAAAATTGGTTTTGGGGTTTCATGACCCTTGTTTTACAAGTCACCTTCATTTATACTGCGCTTTTACCAATATAGATTGTTTCAAAGCTGCTTTACAATGATAATAGGAATTTAAAGTAACAGATTGTTTTGGCTTTCCAGCAGCTCTAGAATAAAGTTATTGTCCAGATAAAGTTAGTTTTGATTGACTCACTTCCGTCGCAACGATCATTAGATATTAACTTAGGGGCCGCTAACACGACACCGTTCTAGAGGAAAACCCTTAAAATAATTCGGATTGGATTTTCTGCGTTTTCCGCATCCGTAGCTCAAGCATTTCGAATGGTGTTTTGACAATTCAGAGCCACCAAATGACGAATACGAAAAAACGCATACGAAAATTTCAGACTCAGTGTGCAAGGACATTAAAGGAGTAGTTCACCTCCTGATAATTCACTCACCCCAATGCCATCCAAGATCTTCATGTCTTTCTTTCCTCAGTGGAAAGGAAATTAGTTTTTTGAGGAAAACATTTCAGGATTTTTCTCCACACAATGGACTTTAACGGTAACCAAATTATTGAAGTCCAAATCAATGCAGTTTCACAGCGCTTCAAGTGTCTCTGCACGACTCCAGCTGAGGAACAGGGTCTGATCTAGCCAAACCAGCGCTCATTTAAACAAATATTTATATACTTTTTTACCACAATTGTTGGTCTTGTGCTGGTCTGTGACGCGTCAGGCATTACGTCATCACGCTGGAAAGGTCACGCTGGACGTAGGCGTAAGCACCGCCCCATTGTTTACAAGCGTGGAGAAGGAGGATCGTTCAAATTTGATTGTATGTTGAATGACATATTTATGTCTTTGTGTCAGTTTGTTTAAAATGGTCCTTTCGTGTGTGTATCCTGGATGTTTAAAACAATGGGGCGTTACTTCCGCCTACGTCCAGCGTGACCTTCCAGCGATGACGTAATGCCTGACGCGTCACAGACCAGCACAAATCGAACAATTGTGGTTAAAAAGTAAATACATTTTTATTTTTTTAGAAAATGAGCGCTGGTTTGGCTAGATCAGACCCTGTTCCTCAGCTGGAGTCGTGCAGAGACACTTGAAGCGCTGTGAAACTGCATTGATTTGGACTTCAATAATTTGGTTACCATTAAAGTCCATTGTGTGGAGGAAAATCCTGAAATGTTTTCCTCAAAAAACTTAATTTCTTTTCCACCGAAGAAAGAAAGACATGAACATCTTGGATGGCATTGGGGTGAGTGAATTATCAGGAAATGTTCATTTTGAGGTGAACTACTCCTTTAATGCGCTCCGACCGCTCATTCACACGACAACACTTCCAGCCGCTACACTCATGCGCTCGAGTTACGTGTGCAGTGTAATAGGCAGCGGATGCGGTACCTCGTGTGTGCGGCTGCCGTCGCTCGGATCGGCCAGTCGGATCGGCGTGGAGCGCTGAGACCCGGTCCCATCATCCTCACGCTCTTCCTCAGACTCGTCCTCAGAGCTGCTGGAGATCTGCTCTTCAGTGGGAGGAGGAGGAGCGCTGGCCGCAGTCTTCCTCTGCAACACCAGGTCCTCCTTACTCGACTTATTACTGCAAACCAAGAGCAAGATTATCAGCGGAAGAAAAAACGGTTGCCATTCACATTCATGCAAATCACTAAGAGCCGCTTTTGAATGTGCAAGCTGCAAGGCGGACGTTTCTTGTGTTTAATAGAATAAATATATCACAAAATAGTGCAATACAAAAATGCACCAGTATGTATCGTGGAGAGTTACAATATGGGCCCTATCACACACTCCGGCGCGACGCCAGTGTGTTTGGCTAGTTTCAGCCCGACGCACTTTTCATTTTCACGTCCTGCGCCGCGTTGTTTAAATAGCGAATGCATTTGTGCGCATCTGTGGCCCATGGGCTGCTGGTCTGAGAGCGAGTGTGTGTTCAGGAGCACTGATGAACGCTGCTATTCTGAGGAACTGAAATAGACTGAGTCGTCGACCAACTGAACCCTGGGCTGAAGTCAGTGGCGCAGTGTTTCTTTCGTTATTTAAAGAGTGCGTTAGTAATGTGTGTCTATAGGCGGGTCCACAACACACACACTCTGCTTATTACACAAACACACACACACACCCTGCTTATTACACAAACACACACACACACACCCTGCTTATGACACACACACACTCTGCTTATTACACACATATTCTGCATATTACACACACACACACACACACACACTCTGCTTATTACACACACACTGCTTATGACACACACTCTGCTTATTACACACACACTCTGCTTATTACACACACACATACACAATCTGCTTATTACACACATATTCTGCATATCACACACACACACACACACACACACACACTCTGCTTATTACACACACACACACACACACACTGCTTATGACACACACTCTGCTTATTACACACACACTCTGCTTATTACACACACACACATACACACTCTGCTTATTACACACATACACACACTCTGCTTATTATATACACACACTCTGCTTATTACAAACACACACACACACACACACACACACACACTGCTTATTACACACACACACACTCTGCTTATTACACACACACTCTACTTACACACACTCTGCTTATTACACACACACACTGTTTATTACACACACACCCACACTGCTTATTACACACACAGGGACACACAGCAGCACACAAACATGGCAAATATTGAAAATAAAAGGATTACAATGTAAAATATTATTGTGTACATAAAGATATGTTGAATTTTGGCTCGTCCCGTAGATGGTCTGCTTGCGCTTTAACCTCACACACACACACACACACACACACACACACACACACACACACACACACACACACACACACACACACACACACACAGACACACACAGACACACACGCACTTCAGTCATTTATCGACTGTGATTGAGTTTCTCGACCTATGGCTCACAGCTTATAAAAACTTTTTCACATTATTCCAATTTTGACTTTGGGGTTTTCATATCTGTAAGGCATAATCATCACAATTATAACAAATAAAGGCTTGAAATATCTCACTTTGCATGTAATGAGTCTATATAATATATTAGTTTCACCTTTTAAGTTGAATTACTGAAATAAATTAACTTTTGCACCATATTCTAATTTTTCGAGTTTCACCTGTATATACACTCACCGGCCACTTTATTAGGTACCCCATGCTAGTAACGGGTTGGACCCCCTTTTGCCTTCAGAACTGCCTCAATTCTTCGTGGCATAGATTCAACAAGGTGCTGGAAGCATTCCTCAGGGAGTTTGGTCCATATTGACATGATGGCATCACACAGTTGCCGCAGATTTGTCGGCTGCACATCCATGATGCGAATCTCCCGTTCCACCACATCCCAAAGATGCTCTATTGGGTTGAGATCTGGTGACTGTGGAGGCCATTTTAGTACAGTGAACTCATTGTCATGTTCAAGAAACCAATTTGAAATGATTAGAGCTTTGTGACATGGTGGAAGTAGCCATCAGAGGATGGGTACATGGTGGCCATAAAGGGATGGACATGGTCAGAAACAATGCTCAGGTAGGCCGTGGCATTTAAACGATGCCCAATTGGCACTAAGGGGCCTAAAGTGTGCCAGGAAAACATCCCCCACACCATTACACCACCACCACCAGCCTGCACAGTGGTAACAAGGCATGATGGTTCCATGTTCTCATTCTGTTTACGCCAAATTCTGACTCTAACATCTGAATGTCTCAACAGAAATCGAGACTCATCAGACCAGGCAACATTTTTCCAGTCTTCAACTGTTCAATTTTGGTGAGCTCTTGCAAATTGTAGCCTCTTTTTCCTATTTGTAGTGGAGATGAGTGGTACCCGGTGGAGTCTTCTGCTGTTGTAGCCCATCCGCCTCAAGGTTGTGCGTGTTGTGGCTTCACAAATGCTTTGCTGCATACCTCGGTTGTAACGAGTGGTTATTTCAGTCACTGTTGCCCTTCTATCAGCTCGAACCAGTCTGGCCATTCTCCTCTGACCTCTGGCATCAACAAGGCATTTCCGCCCACAGAACTGCCGCTCACTGGATGTTTTTTCTTTTTCGGACCATTCTCTGTAAACCCTAGAGATGGTTGTGCGTGAAAATCCCAGTAGATTAGCAGTTTCTGAAATACTCAGACCAGCCCTTCTGGCACCAACAATCATGCCACGTTCAAAGTCACTCAAATCAACTTTCTTCCCCATACTGATGCTCGGTTTGAACTGCAGGAGATTGTCTTGACCATGTCTACATGCCTAAATGCACTGAGTTGCCGCCATGTGATTGGCTGCTTAGAAATTAAGTGTTAACGAGCAGTTGGACAGGTGTACCTAATAAAGTGGCCGGTGAGTGTATATATGTATATATACACACTGTACTTAATTGTTGTTTTTGCCATTGGAGATTCAACAGCGGTGTTCCTGATTATCAAGTATATATTTTGCATTATTGTTTTATGAATGGCCGCAAAAAAAACGAAATCCTGCAGGAAACAGTGCCGGGAAGAGAAGCTCAGGGCACACAGATATGAATATTTATCATATAAAAGCATATTAAAGCACAAATCAACTTGTTTTCAAGTACATAAGGTAGATTCCCGTTCACACCTGAACAACATCAGACAGCTGCTCACACACCATCAATATTCACACGCTAGGAAACACGAGTGAAACACTGATTGCTTTTCCAGCAGAGAAGGTCACTGACTGTACATGAGAGTGTGTGTTTCTGAAAGAGGGCACATTATTTTTCACATACTGACATTGTTTTTTTTTGGTCGGCTGGATCAGTGTGTTGTGATTGGTCGAGCGCTTCGAGCGTGTTTGGGAAATGTCCCGCCCCTTTCCATAACCGCCAGTTTAACACACTACTAACTAACTCAACCAGGCCCCGCCCCTTTATTCTGCGTATGAATTATTATTATTTTTTTTATAATTATGTTTATTGAATTTTCATTATAATACAAATATAACAAGACATCACAAAAAAATAAAAAAAAATAAAGGAACACAAATTGCTCAGATTTGTGTACAGGTGAAACTCAAAAGTGCAAAAGTTCATTTATTTCAGTAATTCAACTTAAAAGCTGAAACTAATATATTATATAGACTCATTACATGCAAAGTGAGATATTTCAAGCCTTTATTTGTTATAATTGTGATGATTATGGCTTACAGATATGAAAACCCCAAAGTCAAAATTAGAATATTGTGAAAAGGTTTTCATATCTGTAAGTCATAATCATCACAATTATAACAAATAAAGGCTTGAAATATCTCACTTTGCATGTAATGAGTCTATATAATATATTAGTTTCACCTTTTAAGTTGAATTACTGAAATAAATGAACTTTTGCACCATATTCTAATTTTTGAGTTTCACCTGTAAAACAGAACTACACCATAATAAAACAGATTAGAGAAAAAAAGAAAAGAAAAAAACTTATTTTAAAAAGATGGTTCAACGTCCAGAGAGTTATACAATTACAAAATTCCTTGTAATATAATGAGTTTGCAAATAGTCCAGATATGGCGTCCAGACTTCATAAAACTGGCGTGTTTTTTGATGTAATACATAAGCAAGACTCTCCAGGGGAATCAACTCAAAAATGACTTTATCAACCTTCAAGAGATGGAGATTTATCACTGATCCAATGAAGTAAAATATTTTTTTCTGGCAGCAAAGGATAGAATATTATGCAATTTCTTATTAGGAGATGCGTCCATTAGGTATACCCAACCGTATGAATTATTATAATGAGGAATATTGAGACGTGTTCGTTCCCGGAAGAAACTCAGGACTACAATGGAGGCGTTTCAGGAGTTCAGAAACACTGACACTGATATAGAGAATTATTAAACATTAAATAATAAATTAGAGCAAATATCTCAGACTCACCCCAACACAGACTTGGCGCTCTCGTCTGGTTTGCGAACAGTGAACGGACTGGGGTCGAGCCCGACTGACTTCGGCATGAACTCCCTAAAATCAAACACAAGAAAGAGAAATTATGCATAAGCATGAATATTAATCTTTTTTTGGCAAATGTAGAAAAACATTGTGAGCACAAAAAGTATTTAAAGGGATAGTTCAGCCAAAAATGAAAACTGTGTCATCGTTTACTCACACTCATGTCGTTCCAAACCCGTATGAAATTAATATTTACTTTAATATTTTACTTCAATAATTAAATCGATTTTTACTGTAATATCCATTTAAATAAATAAACAAATAAATAAATATTTAATTAAGAATTCATTTAAAAAATAATTCTTTTAATTTATATTTATTTAAATATTTAAATTGCTTTTTACTTAAATATTCATTTAAATAAATAAATAGACAAAAGATAATGAATATAAATAAATATTTAAAAATAAAAATGTATACTTATACTAAATATTAATTTGTTTATTTTGGTTTAAATATGTATTTATTTGAATTAATATTCAAGCAAATATTTATTTTTGTATTTGTTTATTTTAATTAATATTTAAGGAAATATTAATTTAAATATTTAATTGATTAAAGTAAATATTTATTTGTTTATTTTGTTTACTTATTTGAATTAATATTTAAATAAACAAACACAAAAATAAATATTTGCTTGAATATTTAAAATTTAGATTACATTTTAATGAATACTTGAATATAAAACACAAAATACTATGTACTTATAACAATATTTTACTCATAGATATGACATAAAAATAACAATGTTCTTGAAGACCCCAGCATGAAGAGCTCCAGTTGTAAGTGTGTGTTCTGCTACGGTTTCATTTTTCGTTGGCGAAATAAAGGAAAACAAACAATATTGACAATATTGTGTCTAAAATGTAACACAATTTTAGCTTATTGTTCATTTAACTGTTGTATCAAATAAATATCACATTTGTTCTGGAGAAAACGGCACTCTTGCGCATGTGATATTGTAGCTAATATAGCCTAACTATATAATATGATATAAATATAAGACAAAAACTCCTTTGGGGACATAACTAAGAATAAATAAAGATTGATTTCACAATTAAACTGACATTTACCCATTTTCTTCTCCTCCTCCTCCTAGCAAATCCACAAAGATAGAATAATAAAAAATAATATGTATGCTAATTAGATTTGTCTTAGTCAAAGTGTCATCCAAGACCTCTCATAAGTAAAAATAAGACTTTTTATGGCCTTAAAATTTTAAAAATCTAATTTAAGACTTTTTAATGATCTGTGGGAACCCTGAATTATGACTATGCAAGTGTGTGTGCATGTAAAGGTGTGTGTGCCCTCTGACCTGGAGGAGTTGGTCATGGCGATGCTAAAGGTGTCGTCGAACGAGGTGAGCTCGTACGGTCTGAAGGACTCGCTGTAGATGTCGATGCTCTCGTCATATCGGTTCACACGCTTCACCACGACCTTCCTCCTGTTGCTCTCACACTGGGCTGAAACACATTCAGAAGACCTTATGATTCAACACACACACACAACTCCAGTTACAGCATCTCACATCCGCCAATCACAGGGTTGCTGCACACTTTTTAAAGTCGTATACGGGATATCTAACTTTACTTCGCTATATTACTATTAAATCCTAATCTAATTATGACAAACTATATATGGTTGGAAATGTCTAAGACTCCTAAATAGATATTTGACTGCTGTTTTTTGCTACAAATTATGTAGGAAGAGTAACCGATGATTTTTTGACAAGAGTGCACCTCAAAAAAATCTGCATCATAACAGGAGTTCTGACCTTTGTCACAAAAAGTTGACGCACACACCTTTAATAATTGAAACTTTGATTTTCATGCTAAAAGTTCATAATAAAACATATAATCTAGTATTTTTGAATAAAAAATTATAATAAAATATTATCCTCTAAAAAGTATAATATATATTTTATCCTCTAAAATATAATATTATCTTTTTTTATCGCTTTTTTATTATATCACATATTTTAGTAGTTATCATAAATTAGGTATCATTTGAAAGCTAACAAACTCAGAATTTATCCTGTGAAACCCGTTTTGAAATTGAATGTTGCGTTACCATAGAAACGGTACTCTAAAATATTTTATCAGGCTCCTCCCCTTTTGGGCATCATTATATTTCATAATTTTATGATCAAAACCTTTTCTAATCTTGACAAAACACATATTGTCAGAAAGGTCTGAGTCTCAAGGTTCCAAATTTTGTGACAGAATTGATATTTGGACAGAAATTTATTAATTTGTTAAGGTAGAATGTTTACAACTAAATTCAATGGAATGTATGTCACCCGGTGGCTATTTTTGGTACTACGCCTAAACAAAATCTCATGGGAACTTCAATTTTTGTGATATCGACTTCAAATTTGGAACATAACTTGGTTAGATATATGGCTTTGATTTTATAGTAATTTTAGAGTAAAATTTTTTTTGTAAAATATATATTTCATATAAAATAAAAAATATATAGTACAGTATATTTGATTTACTGTAAATTTAAACTTCCATAACTTTTTCATACTTTCATTTTTTTAAGTGTTTTCACTTCAGCAATTATCTGAGTGTTTCCTTTAAAACAAGACCAAACTTAGGTCTATATTCCAAAGCATTCTTGAATTACAACCATTTAAGTTAGAATAGTGCATTTTAACCCCCATTCTCAAAAAGGGGCGTGACAGCGAAGGGGTTAAGGCTTTTTAAGACTTTTTTTGAAGAAATAAAAACGATTGCTGTACATTAGGGGTGTGCAATATTGACAAAATCTCGATATTTCCAAAGTTTTGTCGATTATAATGTGTTTTTGTGGCTGGTTTAGGTCTGTTGTTGACAGCTGATTCATGAGAATATTCATATTATTCATATGCGGTGGTCAGTTCACAGCAGTGATGGAAATCAAAATTTTTATTAAAATGATATATATTTGCCACCTTAAATTGATTTCCAGGGGCATTTTTACCTATATAAGTGCATTTTCCCCAAACTTATTAGATGTATGCATCACCTTTCATGTCAAATTCTAACATTCAAATTAAATAATAACACAATACCACTGTTACCAAATTAAATCATTAAATCAAAATCCATCTTTGCAGTGCAGAGACGACACAGAAGCCGCTTCAGAACTGGCATTAATGTTTTTACAATTTTACGAGATTTTTTTTTATTCAATATTTAAATATGAAATTATTTCTAATTTGAACTTTTTAAATAAAAGGGTACTTTTAAATATGAAACTAAAACCAATTGACAATATTGTGTCTAAAATGTAACACAATTTTAACTTATTGTTCATTTAACTGTTGTATCAAATAAATATCACATTTGTTCTGGAGAAAACGGCACTCTTGCGCATGTGATATTGTAGCTAATATAGTCTAACTATATAAATTATGAAAAAAATATAAGACAAAAACTCATTTGGGGACATAACTAAGAATAAATAAAGAATGATTTTACAATTAAACTGACATTTAACCATTTTCTTCTCCTCCTCCTCCTAGCAAATCCACAAAGATAGAATAATAAAAAATAATATGTACGCTAATTAGATTGTTTTAATTTGGTAAAGCGTTTAGATTTGTCTTAGTCAAAGTGTCATCCAAAATGTAAGACCTCTCATGAGTAAAAATACGACTTTTTATGGCCTTACATTTTAAAAATCTAATTGAAGACTTTTTAAGGATCCTGAATTATGACTTATAATTGTGAGATTGCGTTTCCGATCGGTCGCTCATGAACCTCGATTCGATCAGGACTCCAACTTAAAGCAGTAGTTCACTTTACAATTAAAACTTCCTGATCATTTACTCTCCCCCACGTCATCCAAGATGTTCATGTCTTTCTTTCTTCAGTGGAAAACAAATTAAGGTTTTTGAGGAACACACTCCAGGGTTTCTCCATATAGTGACTCAATGGGGTCCAACGGGTCGAAGGTCCAGATGTGAGTTTCAGTGCAGCTTCAAAGTCTCGACACGATCCAGCCGAGGAATCAGAGTCTGATCTAGACAAACCAGTGGACATTTATAACAAAATAAACATTTATATACTTTTAACCACAAATGCTGGTCTTGCACGAGCTGTGATGCGACACACATTACGTAATCAGGGTGAAAGGTCAAGCGGGACGTAGGCGAAAGAACAGACCGAGTGTTTACAAAGCGAACGTGCAAAGACTAAGTCAAACGCCCTTTACAAAAAAATAAAAATACGTTATAATATAGTTAAAACAACTATGTGGGATGATTTTGAAGTCCTACTCTCCCTTTTCCACGCGTGACCTTTCAACGCGATGACGTAATGCGTGAAGCCGTGGATGTGCAAGATGAGCATTTGTGGTTAAAAAGTATATAAATGTTTATTTTTGTTATAAAATGGTGGATGGTTTGTCTAGAAAAAAATAAATTTTTCCAACAAAATTTTAATATTTTAATTTGAATGCAACGATGTATCCTTAGCAACACGTCAGCGATAAATTATAAAACAAAATAAAAAATATCTAAAACAAAAGACATTGACATAAGGCGAGAGTAGTGCTGGTTAAAAGTTTGTGTTTACATAATATATATGTGTGTGCTGTGTATAATTCTTTTGTATATATAAATACATATATATTTTTGTAAATATAAATGAGTTGCTATCTGTTTCTGATGCAGAAAAGTTAGTTCATGCATTCATGACCTCGAGACTAGATTACTGTAATGCTTTATTAGCTGGTTGTCCTGCATCCTCAATAAACAAGCTACAGTTAGTGCAAAATGCAGCTGCTAGAGTTCTTACTAGGTCAAGAAAATATGATCATATAACACCAATTTTATCATTTCTACACTGGTTACCTATTAAGTTCCGTATCAATTACAAAGTACTACTACTGACCTATAAAGCCCTAAATGGTTTAGCTCCTGTGTATTTAATGGACCTTCTATCGCCCTACAATCCATCGCGTTCTTTAAGATCACTAAATTCGAGGCTTCTGGTCATTCCTAGGATATCTAAGTCCACTAAAGGAGGGAGGGCGTTCTCACATTTAGCTCCTAAACTCTGGAATAGCCTTCCTGATATTGTTCGAGGCTCTGACTCGCTGTCCCAGTTTAAAACTAGATTAAAGACGCATCTCTTCAGCCAAGCATTTACATAATGCTTACCTTTTATACCACTGCTGAATCAGATCAAATGCATTTAATACTATTAAACTTGAAGAGACTGTAGGTTATTTGTATAGGTTGCATAGTATTAACAGTCATTACGTTCCTGTGTATATTGCGTGAATGACTGGGGGTTGGGCAGATATTGTGTTGCGGTAGGTAGTATGCCATACGGAACCGTTGTCCACTGAAACTGCCTGTTCACGCACCAGTGGGGCTCGACAGCCTTACTGTGCGTTCACACCGGACGCGAATAGCGCGTCAAATTCGGGTCTACCACGTCTAGTTTGACGCTTGACCACTTTGTGTTAATTCGCGTGTCAATGGCGAAATTGACGCGCGTAAAAACAAAAGTTTGAAGCGAAATTTACGCGCGTCAGAGGCGAAATCCGGAGGCGAAAGTTTCGAAACCCGTTGGCGGCCATCTTTTTAGATGTTTATCGAGCATTAGCATTAGCATTATTCGAGAGAGTCACCGCTCGTATATGCTCTGGAGAGCAGAAACAGCTGCGTAGGGGACATCGTCGCTGTACTCGGGTCCACCAGACCCTCCGGAGGGTTTCAGGAGTTTCACAATTTGCTCCAGGAGCTAGGTTTGGTGGACCTAATGGTGAGGACGCTGACGAGGACAGCGTAGGCCGTATAAGCCCTCGGCCTCGAGTGGTCTAGCTATGCCTGTCGAGCCCGCGCTCTACAGCCCGGCGCGAGGTTCACCCTCGCCCGCATCCACCTAATCTGTCATTTATTTTTGTTTTGATAATAAATGAAGCCAGCCTCCAAAAGTGATTAATCTGTCCTGTGATTTTTCTCTCTCTCTCACACATCACTGTCCAGACATGAACTTATATGTTGGTTGTCTTTACATTATAATAATATTTCATATAATCTAGATATGGAATAAATAGCATTCAATGCAAAATGAATATGTGTCATATATTGAAATCAAGTTTTATGTGATAAAATATTTGCTTTGTTGTGCATTAGAACCACAGTCATATATTACAAAATAATTTATTGAAGCATCCAGATACTTCACCACGTGACAGCAGCAAGCAGGCTCCTGATTGGTTAACGCGGCGCGAATTGACGCAGAAGTTCAGATTTTTCAACTCGGGCGGCAGACGCGAATTCGCGTCAAACGCGTGAATGCACAAATAGCACTAACTAAATCATTCGCGCTTAACGCACCAGACGCTCAAGACGCGCGAATGAGGCGTATTCGCGTCTACCGCGCCTCATTCGCGCCGCAGGAATTTTTTACGCGCGTAACGCGTCTTTGCATTGACTTAACATTGAAATCACTCGCGCCTGACGCGCTATTCGCGTCCGGTGTGAACGCACCATTAGTCAACGGGTTGGCGCGTATGGTTGGGTTGCGGAGAGATTGTGAGATTGTGGTTAGGTCTCAGCAGCAGGAGGGACGTAGAGGTCAGTAAGCTGGGCTGAGTTGAGTGGGGGACGGAGGGGGGTGATTTTGGGACGCAAGAGTCACTGTCTTCATGTTTTATCATTTACGCCTGTGTTATGGAAATCATCATTATGAACAGCAGCTACGCTAATTATTTTCCCTTTTCGCTTTTCTGCTGTTATCTCGGGACGCGAGTCCCGAGAAAATGGCGTTCGTCAGCTCCAGTTTGTATCCAGCCTCTCACGGAGACTTCAGATGCTCCAATCACAAAGCCTGTGAAGAGACGACTCAACACCGGCGATATGGACTCTCTATGGTGGACGGCACTGATCCTCAACAACTCGTCTTAATACCGCCGTGATTACTTGGACTTCCAAAAGATGGAAATGGACAAATACTCTAAATGTTCCGATCCAATCTGACTTGTAATGCTGCCCGAATCATGCACTGTTCCTCCGTTGGCCAGAGGAGAACTGGCCCCGACTGAGTCTGGTTTCTCCCAAGGTTGTTTTCTCCATTCTGTCCCTGATGGAGTTTTGGTTCCTTGCCACTGTTGCCTTGGCTTTTGGCTTGCTTAGTTGGGGACATTTAATATTCAATAATATTATTGATCTGCCTTACTTAAGGTGGACGTTGACGCAATTTTCTTTTAGAAACAAACTTTGTTATATTGTTTTTGTTATATTGTTTTCATGTTATCACTGTGAAGCGCTTTGATACAATCTGTATTGTAAAAAGCGCTATATAAATAAAGGTGACTTGACTTGACACACACATGCATTTATTTAAGAAAAATGTGTTATTTATATATAATATAAATTATGTATATACATGCAAATATTTCTTAAATGTATACATGCATGTGTGTGTATTTATATATAGAAAATAATTAATTTTTACACACACACATATATTATGTAAACACAAACTTTTATTTTGGATGCGATTAATCGTGATAAATCGTTGCCCATCACTAGGGTTAAGGTTTAGTTTTTCTTGTTTAAACAACAACCGTAAGTATTACGGGAATTGCATTACAGGAAAGCATAAGATCCCGAAAATCATCTTTTCCACAGTGAACATATAATGGTTAACCTTAGGCCATGAGACGGGACCCCAAATTTGGGCTACCGGTAGCATTTTGAGGGATTAAATTTCTTTTTGATTTTCATGAAGGTACACATCTCTAGTGTTGGAAAATGTGTGATAGCATCCGATCCGTGGTAGCTTTCATTAGAAATCAACACTTATATCATCCTACCTCAAGGTAAGGTGTTCAGTGACTACAAGAGAGAAAAATGTATCCTTTTATAATTTAAAAATTTTATTTAATTTTTTTTATAATTTTTTTTATTTTAAAAATGTATAAAATGTATAAAATTTTATAAAATTTTTATAAAATTTTTATAAAATTTGTATAAAAAGTTTATAAATTTTTTATAACATTTTATAAAAATTTTATACAATTTAAAATTGATTTAAAGATAAATTCATTTATCATTTTTCTTGACATATGTTTGAAAATCGTCCTCCGTAACCAAAAACTACCTTGAATCTAATGCTATCACACATTTTTCAAATACAGGGTCATATACCTACACAAAAATCACCATGCGGTTTAATCCCTCAAAATGGTACCAATCAACCCTCTGTCTCACGGCCTACCTGCAGTCAAACAGCATTATATGTTCACTCACTGGAAAATATGATTTTCCTGATTTACAGTCGGGATCTTTTAGCTCGTTTCTGAAGCGTGTGTTTGTTCAGAGCAGATTCTACAAATTCTACTGATTCCTCGGCTGGATCGTGTCGAGACTCTGAAGCTGCACTGAAACTCACATCTGGACCTTCGACCCGTTGGACCCCATTGAAGACACTAAATCACAATCCTCGAATGTCTTCCTCAAAAACCTTCATTTGTTTTCCACTGAAGGAAGAAAGACATGAACATCTTGGATGACGTGAGGGAGAGTAAATGATCAGGAAGTTTTAATTCTGAAGTGAACGAATCCTTTAAACGACTAGGTTTCTGGTTAATATGTAACCACACGTCTCTCATATCGGTGTTTATGGCTGAGTAAAGTGATCACCTTCATCGTACGGTAACGGGAGGAACGTCAGCACTCCGTCAGACCACCAGTGTGTGTAACTGCAGGAGAAAACATACAGGTGACGTCAAACTCTACAATAGAAACACCATGTTATTTTGGGAAGTCGTACCATAACATGCACCATGTGATATGGCAGTATATGAACATGGTTATAGTAAATATCAAAATACCATGATATTACGATCTGTACCATGGTATCACCTCAGTACTGTTTTCTAAAGGGCAGTGTAACACAAAAATATATAATTGTAATATTTAGAAAAATTATATATGAATTGTATGGTAACAGTTTACAATAACGTTTCATTCGTTAACATTAGTAAACTAAATTAGTTAACATGAACTAATAATTCTACAGTTTCTACAGCATTTATTAATCTTTTTTAATGTTAATTTCAACATTTACTAAAACATTATTCAAATCTGTTAACATTAGTTAATGCACTGTGAACTCACATGAACAAACAATTAATAACTATTTTTAGTAACAAATCCTAAAAAAAGATTAATAAATACAGAAACAAATTAAACCTTATTGTGAAGTGTTACCAATTATATAATAATATAATATAATATATAAAAAATGTAAATGATTAATATACACATATACATGACAAACACACACGTAAATTATAACGTGTATATTAATTTCTAATTAAACCGAGCATAAATTAATTTCATAACAAAGAATATAATACAATTAATTAAATGTATTTGCACATACTGTACTAATGTGTATATATACACATTTCCATTAATAAATATATACACATTTATTTATATTAAATTACAAATATAATTTTTATTAAAGATTATAATAATTATATAATTGTTTATATATCTCATATATGTAAAACAAAAAATTATTTTAACAAATAAATTGTATATATGCATATATCTGTGTGTCTAATGTGTGTGTGTGTGTGTGTGTGTGTGTTTAATTAATTTATTATAATATTATATAATAAAATTTATATTGGTAATATAATATACAACAAACAAATACATAAATATGTCTTAATATAATAATAATAATAGTAAATATAACACTAATGTGTAGATATACTTTTCAATTTATAATCTCAGGGGTTCGTACATATTTTAATGAAAAATTTAATGAAAAATTAAATCCCATGACTTAAGGACTTTGGGATTTCAAAGACTACAACCAGCACTTATCAAATCCCAAAAAATGAAACACTAATTCCATATATATATTGTATTTCAATAATAATTCAAGCACTTTTCAAGTACTTTTTCTTAAATATGTCTGTTCTCAAGGGTTTTCCAGGACTTCAGAACCTCACGCACTTTGTACGAACCCTGTATTATTATTTTTTTGCGAATTTGAGGCGATTTTTACAAAAATAATATCAATCCAAAAATCTTAATGGGAACTAAAAATATGATACGTTTGTTTCTTGTGATTTAAGGGTGAACTCAGATTCACACACATACATGAACACACTGTCCTAGCCATCAGTGAACTGAATGGAAACACATGCATGTGTGTGTGTGTGTGTGTGTGTGTGTGTGTGTGTGTGTGTGTGTGTGTGTGTGTGTGTGTGTGTGTGTGTGTGTGTGTGTGTCCTCGAACACGAACTGTCCTTTCAGAGACAATCTGACTACAATTTCCGAAAACAGGTCAGACTCGTTTCATTTCGTTTTGTGTCTGATAATAGTCGAACCATCAGCGTAAGGCTTTGTCACATCGTCCATTATGCAAGCGGCATCACAAAGACATGCGGAGTCCGACTGCAGGACACTAAACTGGGTCACGGGACACACACACACACACTTTAACATCACAGGGCAATAAAATAATAAAGCACAAACTCCAGAGAGGAATGGATGGACGCAGAGCTGAAGATGGCGAATGAAACGAGGTGGAAAAAACATTTTGATGTTTACACAATTTACGATCTAAAGGCAATGAAACACCAACCAGAACCTGTTCATACTGCCGTTTACTAAGGCAAGCATCACTACACTGTTACTAAGTCACAGCTAAGGTTGGGAATCGAATACTTGTTATAAAATTAAAATTTCAATTCCATTACAAGGTGTAACACAAACTGATATTCACTCAGTCGGTGTAACACAAGCTGACATTCACTCAGTCGGTGTAACACAAGCTGACATTCACTCAGTCGGTGTAACACAAGCCGATATTCACTCAGTCGGTGTAACACAAGCTGACATTCACTCAGTCGGTGTAACACAAGCTGACATTCACTCAGTCAGTGTAACACAAGCTGACATTCACTCAGTCGGTGTAACACAAGCTGACATTCACTCAGTCGGTGTAACACAAGCTGACATTCACTCAGTCGGTGTAACACAAGCTGACATTCACTCAGTCGGTGTAACACAAGCTGACATTCACTCAGTCGGTGTAACACAAGCTGACATTCACTCAGTCGGTGTAACACAAGCTGACATTCACTCAGTCGGTGTAACACAAGCTGACATTCACTCAGTCGGTGTAACACAAGCTGATATTCACTCAGTCGGTGTAACACAAGCTGACATTCACTCAGTCGGTGTAACACAAGCTGACATTCACTCAGTCGGTGTAACACAAGCTGATATTCACTCAGTCGGTGTAACACAAGCTGACATTCACTCAGTCGGTGTAACACAAGCTGACATTCACTCAGTCGGTGTAACACAAGCTGACATTCACTCAGTCGGTGTAACACAAGCTGACATTCACTCAGTCGGTGTAACACAAGCTGATATTCACTCAGTCGGTGTAACACAAGCTGATATTCACTCAGTCGGTGTAACACAAGCTGATATTCACTCAGTCGGTGTAACACAAGCTGACATTCACTCAGTCGGTGTAACACAAGCTGACATTCACTCAGTCGGTGTAACACAAGCCGATATTCACTCAGTCGGTGTAACACAAGCTGACATTCACTCAGTCGGTGTAACACAAGCTGACATTCACTCAGTCAGTGTAACACAAGCTGACATTCACTCAGTCGGTGTAACACAAGCTGACATTCACTCAGTCGGTGTAACACAAGCTGACATTCACTCAGTCGGTGTAACACAAGCTGACATTCACTCAGTCGGTGTAACACAAGCTGATATTCACTCAGTCGGTGTAACACAAGCTGACATTCACTCAGTCGGTGTAACACAAGCTGACATTCACTCAGTCGGTGTAACACAAGCTGACATTCACTCAGTCGGTGTAACACAAACTGACATTCACTCAGTCGGTGTAACACAAGCTGATATTCACTCAGTCGGTGTAACACAAGCTGACATTCACTCAGTCGGTGTAACACAAGCTGACATTCACTCAGTCGGTGTAACACAAGCTGATATTCACTCAGTCGGTGTAACACAAGCCGATATTCACTCAGTCGGTGTAACACAAGCCGACATTCACTCAGTCGGTGTAACACAAGCCGACATTCACTCAGTCGGTGTAACACAAGCTGATATTCACTCAGTCGGTGTAACACAAGCTGACATTCACTCAGTCGGTGTAACACAAGCTGACATTCACTCAGTCGGTGTAACACAAGCTGATATTCACTCAGTCGGTGTAACACAAGCTGACATTCACTCAGTCGGTGTAACACAAGCTGACATTCACTCAGTCGGTGTAACACAAGCCGATATTCACTCAGTCGGTGTAACACAAGCTGACATTCACTCAGTCGGTGTAACACAAGCTGACATTCACTCAGTCGGTGTAACACAAGCTGACATTCACTCAGTCGGTGTAACACAAGCTGACATTCACTCAGTCGGTGTAACACAAGCTGATATTCACTCAGTCGGTGTAACACAAGCTGACATTCACTCAGTCGGTGTAACACAAGCTGACATTCACTCAGTCGGTGTAACACAAGCTGACATTCACTCAGTCGGTGTAACACAAGCTGACATTCACTCAGTCGGTGTAACACAAGCTGACATTCACTCAGTCGGTGTAACACAAGCTGACATTCACTCAGTCGGTGTAACACAAGCATTCACTCAGTCGGTGTAACACAAGCTGATATTCACTCAGTCGGTGTAACACAAGCTGATATTCACTCAGTCGGTGTAACACAAGCTGACATTAACTCAGTCGGTGTAACACAAGCTGATATTCACTCAGTCGGTGTAACACAAGCCGATATTCACTCAGTCGGTGTAACACAAGCTGACATTCACTCAGTCGGTGTAACACAAGCTGACATTCACTCAGTCGGTGTAACACAAGCCGATATTCACTCAGTCGGTGTAACACAAGCTGATATTCACTCAGTCGGTGTAACACAAGCTGACATTCACTCAGTCGGTGTAACACAAGCCGATATTCACTCAGTCGGTGTAACACAAGCCGATATTCACTCAGTCGGTGTAACACAAGCTGACATTCACTCAGTCGGTGTAACACAAGCTGACATTCACTCAGTCGGTGTAACACAAGCCGATATTCACTCAGTCGGTGTAACACAAGCCGACATTCACTCAGTCGGTGTAACACAAGCTGACATTCACTCAGTCGGTGTAACACAAGCTGATATTCACTCAGTCGGTGTAACACAAGCATTCACTCAGTCGGTGTAACACAAGCTGACATTCACTCAGTCGGTGTAACACAAGCTGATATTCACTCAGTCGGTGTAACACAAGCCGACATTCACTCAGTCGGTGTAACACAAGCTGACATTCACTCAGTCGGTGTAACACAAGCTGATATTCACTCAGTCGGTGTAACACAAGCTGACATTCACTCAGTCGGTGTAACACAAGCTGACATTCACTCAGTCGGTGTAACACAAGCTGATATTCACTCAGTCGGTGTAACACAAGCTGATATTCACTCAGTCGGTGTAACACAAGCTGACATTCACTCAGTCGGTGTAACACAAGCCGATATTCACTCAGTCGGTGTAACACAAGCCGATATTCACTCAGTCGGTGTAACACAAGCTGACATTCACTCAGTCGGTGTAACACAAGCTGACATTCACTCAGTCGGTGTAACACAAGCCGATATTCACTCAGTCGGTGTAACACAAGCCGACATTCACTCAGTCGGTGTAACACAAGCTGACATTCACTCAGTCGGTGTAACACAAGCCGATATTCACTCAGTCGGTGTAACACAAGCTGACATTCACTCAGTCGGTGTAACACAAGCTGATATTCACTCAGTCGGTGTAACACAAGCTGACATTCACTCAGTCGGTGTAACACAAGCTGATATTCACTCAGTCGGTGTAACACAAGCTGACATTCACTCAGTCGGTGTAACACAAGCTGACATTCACTCAGTCGGTGTAACACAAGCCGATATTCACTCAGTCGGTGTAACACAAGCTGACATTCACTCAGTCGGTGTAACACAAGCTGACATTCACTCAGTCGGTGTAACACAAGCTGACATTCACTCAGTCGGTGTAACACAAGCTGACATTCACTCAGTCGGTGTAACACAAGCTGATATTCACTCAGTCGGTGTAACACAAGCTGATATTCACTCAGTCGGTGTAACACAAGCATTCACTCAGTCGGTGTAACACAAGCTGACATTCACTCAGTCGGTGTAACACAAGCTGACATTCACTCAGTCGGTGTAACACAAGCTGACATTCACTCAGTCGGTGTAACACAAGCTGACATTCACTCAGTCGGTGTAACACAAGCATTCACTCAGTCGGTGTAACACAAGCTGACATTCACTCAGTCGGTGTAACACAAGCTGACATTCACTCAGTCGGTGTAACACAAGCATTCACTCAGTCGGTGTAACACAAGCTGATATTCACTCAGTCGGTGTAACACAAGCTGATATTCACTCAGTCGGTGTAACACAAGCTGACATTAACTCAGTCGGTGTAACACAAGCTGATATTCACTCAGTCGGTGTAACACAAGCTGATATTCACTCAGTCGGTGTAACACAAGCATTCACTCAGTCGGTGTAACACAAGCTGATATTCACTCAGTCGGTGTAACACAAGCTGATATTCACTCAGTCGGTGTAACACAAGCTGATATTCACTCAGTCGGTGTAACACAAGCTGATATTCACTCAGTCGGTGTAACACAAGCATTCACTCAGTCGGTGTAACACAAGCTGATATTCACTCAGTCGGTGTAACACAAGCTGATATTCACTCAGTCGGTGTAACACAAGCTGACATTCACTCAGTCAGTGTAACACAAGCTGACATTCACTCAGTCGGTGTAACACAAGCTGACATTCACTCAGTCGGTGTAACACAAGCTGACATTCACTCAGTCGGTGTAACACAAACTGACATTCACTCAGTCGGTGTAACACAAGCTGATATTCACTCAGTCAGTGTAACACAAGCTGACATTCACTCAGTCGGTGTAACACAAGCTGACATTCACTCAGTCGGTGTAACACAAACTGACATTAACTCAGTCGGTATAACACAAGCTGATATTCACTCAGTCGGTGTAACACAAGCTGATATTCACTCAGTCGGTGTAACACAAGCTGATATTCACTCAGTCGGTGTAACACAAGCTGATATTCACTCAGTCGGTGTAACACAAGCTGATATTCACTCAGTCGGTGTAACACAAGCTGACATTCACTCAGTCGGTGTAACACAAGCTGATATTCACTCAGTCGGTGTAACACAAGCTGATATTCACTCAGTCGGTGTAACACAAGCTGATATTCACTCAGTCGGTGTAACACAAGCTGATATTCACTCAGTCGGTGTAACACAAGCTGACATTCACTCAGTCAGTGTAACACAAGCTGACATTCACTCAGTCGGTGTAACACAAGCTGATATTCACTCAGTCGGTGTAACACAAGCTGACATTCACTCAGTCGGTGTAACACAAGCATTCACTCAGTCGGTGTAACACAAGCTGATATTCACTCAGTCGGTGTAACACAAGCTGATATTCACTCAGTCGGTGTAACACAAGCTGACATTCACTCAGTCAGTGTAACACAAGCTGACATTCACTCAGTCGGTGTAACACAAGCTGATATTCACTCAGTCGGTGTAACACAAGCTGATATTCACTCAGTCGGTGTAACACAAGCTGACATTCACTCAGTCGGTGTAACACAAGCCGATATTCACTCAGTCGGTGTAACACAAGCTGACATTCACTCAGTCGGTGTAACACAAGCATTCACTCAGTCGGTGTAACACAAGCTGATATTCACTCAGTCGGTGTAACACAAGCTGACATTCACTCAGTCGGTGTAACACAAGCTGATATTCACTCAGTCGGTGTAACACAAGCCGATATTCACTCAGTCGGTGTAACACAAGCTGACATTCACTCAGTCGGTGTAACACAAGCTGATATTCACTCAGTCGGTGTAACACAAGCTGACATTCACTCAGTCGGTGTAACACAAGCCGATATTCACTCAGTCGGTGTAACACAAGCTGATATTCACTCAGTCGGTGTAACACAAGCTGACATTCACTCAGTCGGTGTAACACAAGCTGATATTTACTCAGTCGGTGTAACACAAGCTGACATTCACTCAGTCGGTGTAACACAAGCCGATATTCACTCAGTCGGTGTAACACAAGCCGATATTCACTCAGTCGGTGTAACACAAGCTGACATTCACTCAGTCGGTGTAACACAAGCATTCACTCAGTCGGTGTAACACAAGCTGATATTCACTCAGTCGGTGTAACACAAGCTGACATTCACTCAGTCGGTGTAACACAAGCTGATATTCACTCAGTCGGTGTAACACAAGCCGATATTCACTCAGTCGGTGTAACACAAGCTGACATTCACTCAGTCGGTGTAACACAAGCTGATATTCACTCAGTCGGTGTAACACAAGCTGACATTCACTCAGTCGGTGTAACACAAGCCGATATTCACTCAGTCGGTGTAACACAAGCTGATATTCACTCAGTCGGTGTAACACAAGCTGACATTCACTCAGTCGGTGTAACACAAGCTGATATTTACTCAGTCGGTGTAACACAAGCTGACATTCACTCAGTCGGTGTAACACAAGCTGACATTCAGTCAGTCGGTGTAACACAGGCTGACATTCACTCAGTCGGTGTAACACAAGCTGACATTCACTCAGTCGGTGTAACACAAGCTGACATTCACTCAGTCGGTGTAACACAAGCGGATATTCACTCAGTCGGTGTAACACAAGCGGATATTCACTCAGTCGGTGTAACACAAGCGACATTCACTCAGTCGGTGTAACACAAGCTGACATTCACTCAGTCTGTGTAACACAAACTGACATTCACTCAGTCGGTGTAACACAAGCATTCACTCAGTCGGTGTAACACAAGCTGACATTCACTCAGTCGGTGTAACACAAGCTGACATTCACTCAGTCGGTGAAACACAAGCTGACATTCACTCAGTCGGTGTAACACAAGCTGACATTCACTCAGTCGGTGTAACACAAGCTGACATTCACTCAGTCGGTGTAACACAAGCATTCACTCAGTCGGTGTAACACAAGCTGATATTCACTCAGTCGGTGTAACACAAGCATTCACTCAGTCGGTGTAACACAAGCTGATATTCACTCAGTCGGTGTAACACAAGCTGACATTCACTCAGTCGGTGTAACACAAGCTGACATTCACTCAGTCGGTGAAACACAAGCTGACATTCACTCAGTCGGTGTAACACAAGCTGACATTCACTCAGTCGGTGAAACACAAGCTGACATTCACTCAGTCGGTGTAACACAAGCTGACATTCACTCAGTCGGTGAAACACAAGCTGACATTCACTCAGTCGGTGTAACACAAGCTGACATTCACTCAGTCGGTGTAACACAAGCTGACATTCACTCAGTCGGTGTAACACAAGCATTCACTCAGTCGGTGTAACACAAGCTGATATTCACTCAGTGGGTGTAACACAAGCTGACATTCACTCAGTCGGTGTAACACAAGCATTCACTCAGTCGGTGTAACACAAGCTGATATTCACTCAGTCGGTGTAACACAAGCTGATATTCACTCAGTCGGTGTAACACAAGCTGACATTCACTCAGTCGGTGTGACACAAGCTGACATTCACTCAGTCGGTGTAACACAAGCTGATATTCACTCAGTCGGTGTAACACAAGCTGATATTCACTCAGTCGGTGTAACACAAGCTGATATTCACTCAGTCGGTGTAACACAAGCTGATATTCACTCAGTCGGTGTAACACAAGCTGACATTCACTCAGTCGGTGTAACACAAGCTGACATTCACTCAGTCGGTGTAACACAAGCTGATATTCACTCAGTCGGTGTAACACAAGCTGACATTCACTCAGTCGGTGTAACACAAGCTGATATTCACTCAGTCGGTGTAACACAAGCTGACATTCACTCAGTCGGTGTAACACAAGCTGACATTCACTCAGTCGGTGTAACACAAGCTGACATTCACTCAGTCGGTGTAACACAAGCTGACATTCACTCAGTCGGTGTAACACAAGCTGACATTCACTCAGTCGGTGTAACACAAGCTGACATTCACTCAGTCGGTGTAACACAGGCTGACATTCACTCAGTTGGTGTAACACAAGCTGACATTCACTCAGTCGGTGTAACACAAGCTGACATTCACTCAGTCGGTGTAACACAAGCTGACATTCACTCAGTCGGTGTAACACAAGCTGACATTCACTCAGTCGGTGTAACACAAGCTGACATTCACTCAGTCGGTGTAACACAAGCTGACATTCACTCAGTCGGTGTAACACAAGCTGACATTCACTCAGTCGGTGTAACACAAGCTGACATTCACTCAGTCGGTGTAACACAGGCTGACATTCACTCAGTCGGTGTAACACAAGCATTCACTCAGTCGGTGTAACACAGGCTGACATTCACTCAGTCGGTGTAACACAAGCTGACATTCACTCAGTCGGTGTAACACAAGCTGACATTCACTCAGTCGGTGTAATATTACCTGTGGCGCTGGTGTGGGAGGCTCATGGTGTTACTGTGGTGAAGGTAGAAGTCTGTGGGCAGTTCCCAGAGATGAGGCTTTGATTCAGACGGCTGGAAGACCTGCAGGAACAGGTTTATAGCGTCCTGTCTGTCTGCATCTGAGAGAGAGACACACACACACACACACACACACACACACACACACATTACATACATAACACTTCTCATGTCTGACCAAATCTTAGTTTAAGCTTTTTTTACATTCATGCATTTGGCAGATGCTTTTATCCAAAGCAACTTGCATTGCATTCAATGCAATCTACATTTTATTAGCTCAAGCATTTACAGGTTTTCTGCATCTGAGAGAGAGACAACATTACTTATATAACACTTCTCATGTCTTAGTCTTGACCAAATCTTAGTTTAAGCTGTATTTCATTTAGTTTTTGTTTGTTTTGTTGTATCCAAAGTGACTTGCATTGCACTTTATTTATTATTAAATTTAAAATAATTGTATTAATATTATTTACATTACATTATATTTAACCATTTGGCAGACATTTCAACCAAAGCAAATATTATTACACACATTTGAATTTTTTTATTCAATTATTTATTTTATACTTTGTCAATTTTACTTATTTTTGTATTTATTTTATAATTTATTGTATTTAACAGTATTTTATTTAATTGTACAATTTTATTTAATATTTTATCATTTAAGTGCCACTTTATATAAATTACTTTTGTCCTTTAATCGTATAGTTTTTTTGTATCGTATTGTATTTTATCTAATTATTTATTTTATTTTATTATTAAAACGTATTATAAATGCATTTTATTTTGCATTTTAATTAACTACCTTTTTAATTTTATTTCATATTTCATATGAAAACTACTCATTTGGAAAAGTGCTGTTTTACTTTATATCAATTATTAATGTCCTTGGATCCTAATTGCATGCAGCCACAATTCTAATGCTAAAACAAGATGAACTGTTTTTGTGATGCCAATAAAAGTAAATAAAAACACTTAAACAAAATCTGAGAGAGACTGTAAATCAGCGAACATCACAGCGAGAGCAATCCAACAGTGAAAGAGTCGGATGCATCTATTCTCAGCTGTCAAGACATTGTTTGAATACGCAGAGAATAAAAGAGTGATGATTGCGCTCACGGGTCCATGTGTGAAACCAAGAGTTAATCGACAAGCACAATTAGACTCGTTCCTCGTTATCCCTCAAGGCCCTTTCAGCATCTTTCTAATTAAATAAAGCTGAGATGAGACGTTGCATTAGTGCACATGTTCACCCAGAAAACATCACATGGACACTCCAGCGAATCGGTAACTACATCATATGCTACAGTGAAAACCTTGTTTTTGCTGGGTTTTTTACACATAGCATGTTTAAATCATCATAAAAATGTCATAATGCCAAATATTTTACATTTTCATTAACATTGCATTAATTTCCATTATGATTAAACATGCATAAGTGTTAAAAGAGGCTTAGTTTTGTAATGCAGTACACTTTGTCTTTGACTTTGGAGTGAAAAACAACATGTGCTTGAGATTCACCTGTTAAATAACATTTAAATACATCACCACAGTTTCCTAAGTGTCGGGTCGAGACTGTGTCTGCGACGATGATTCATTTCAGGAGAATTTATAAGCTGTTAAATCGAGCCCCTGAATGAGAGGATGCTATAAATACAGCCGAGAGAACAATAAAAGACGGGAAAAGCAGAGTCTGAAGAACGGCTAAAACCGGCAGAAAAGTGACCGTCGTAATCAGCGTATTAAACAGAACCCAAGATACACTGCCGAAATAATGCTCTTCAAGAGACTTTTAGTGGAAATGCACAAATGACGAAGGAACTAATTCGATCTCAAGATCAAAATTCACGTCACACAACCTCTTTGCACTGATATATTTACTTGAAACTTGTATATATATATATATATAATATAATTGAAATTTCTTGATTCATTATTTTAAATGTGTATAATTATGAATCACTCATTATATAAAAAGGGTTAAAGTTTTATCATCTAAAGACTTAATATATATATATTATATACAAATATTTTTATTTTATTTAATGTAGTAAAAAATCTTTAAAATTTAAAAAAAAAAAAAAAAACGAATAAAAGCTATAAACAAAAAAGAACAGAACTAATAAAAATGGAAAAAACCCACAACTAAAATACTAAAACTTTTACTAAAATGAAAATATAAAAAATAATTCAAAATATGAATAAAAGCTATAATAGCATCCCAATGATACAAAATAACACTGGAATAAGCTATAATAAAAAAAAGTTTTACACGCATTCAAAATCATAAACATCTTAAAGATATGTTCTGAATGTCGATTTAATCTGACAGAATTAAATACTTGAAACTTGTATATATATATATATATAATATAATTGAGATTTAAATGTGTATACAGTATAGTTATGAATCACTCATTTACACTTAATATATATATTAAATAATATATGAAAAATAAAATTTTTAAATATATATATATATAATTAATGTAAAAAAATAATATAAAATATTATAATTAAAATAACTAAAATTAAAACTGAAAAAAAACCTAATAAAAGCTATAAACAAAAAAAACTGAACTAATAAAAATGGCAAAAACACTTACAACTAAATTACTAAAACTTTTACTAAAATGAAAATATAAAACAAATAAAAAATATGAATAAATATGATAAAAAACAAATCTTTTAAAAAGCAGTTTTACACACATTAAAAATCATAAATATCTTAAAGACATGTTCTAAATGTCGATTTAATCTGACAGAAAAAGCCTTCGAGATGAACTGCAAATGAGCAAACGCCATCATCAATCATAAATCATCCAGATGAAAACATAAACATCAAACTAGGTGTTAGAAAGCTGAAATAGCATATCGGCCAGTACATAAATATACATTTTTGGGTATATTATTCTTATTATTCAGCGAAACCAGAGGATGTCGCGGTGTCCTCTATTCACACGTCTCAAAAACATGATTTTGTGTGTAAATGACATGCAGAGTCCGGGTTATGATGACATCATCACTCATCATTCTCCGCTCGTGTCTGGAACATTATCAGAAGTCTCTCTGGACTCGACAAGCACCAAATCACACCGACCGCTGAAGCACTGTGATTATATTACACTAGTCTGCTCGAAGAAGCCCGAAAGGTTTCATGTTTAAATGAGCGACTCTACTGACTGTACACTGTAACTCTCCACAAATGCAGAAATCTCAACAGCTTTACAGAAGAGATGAAGCCATAATCAAACTGACACAATTCATAAAGAAACGGTTACTCTAAAATCTCAGAATACAAACAATGACATGGAGAAAAAACTGCATTATTAATGCATTCAATTATTATTTAGATTTCTTTGAAGAATGGAAAATATTTTAATAATTCATATATACATATACACGTACGAACATGTTTTTTTTTTTGTTTATTTAAACAAAATAGTATAATAATATATATATAAAAAAAAAATTTAATTATGTAAAAAAATTATAATTAAAATAACTAGAATTAAAACTAAAAAAAATATAAACATTAAACAAACAAAACTAATATAGCTAATAAAAACGAATATATATATATATATAAAATATTTTTATATATAATATACTACTTTTTGATAATATAAAATTAAACAGTTAAAATTAACTGTTTAGATCTTAAACATTAATTTATTTTTACATTTTTATTTTCTGAATGATTCATAACATCTGAACACTATATATATATATATCAATAACACATTTGCACTCATGCTATTGGGGACTATATCTTAACTATATCATGATATATATATATATATATATATACACATGGCAAGTCCTGTTGTTGCTAGAGATGCTCAATGCGATTGAGATGTGGAGAATCTGGAGGTCGTCGACACCTTGATCTCTTCATCAAGTTCCTCAAAACATTCCTGACCGACGTGAAGAGTCGAGTTCTCACACGGCATTACCAGAGGAAGAAAACCCCACACACCGACACCAGTTTGAGTTTGTCCCTCTTCAGACACTGTTGGTAAACCCACTCAGAGCCACTCGCCTTGCCATAACAATCTGGCACACACACTTTCACACACTCATACACTCTCACACACTCTCACACAATCATGCACACACACACACACTCACTCATGCACACACACATGCACACACTCACGCACACACACATGCACACACTCACGCACACACACATGCACACACTCATGCACACACATGCACACACTCATGCACACACATGCACAGACTCATGCACACACACACACACACACTCACTCATGCACACACACATGCACACACTCACGCACACACACATGCACACACTAACGCACACACACATGCACACACTCACGCACACACACATGCACACACTCATGCACACACATGCACACACTCATGCACACACACATGCACTCTCATGCACACACACATGCACACACTCATGCACACACTCATGCGCACACACACATGCACACTCTCATGCACACACTCATGCACACACACATGCACACACTCATGCACACACATGCACACACTCATGCACACACACATGCACACACTCATGCACACACACACACACTCACTCATGCACACACACATGCACACACTCACGCACACACACATGCACACACTCACGCACACACACATGCACAGACTCATGCACACACTCATGCACACACTCATGCACACACTCATGCACACACATGCACACACACATGCACTCTCATGCACACACACATGCACACACTCATGCACACACTCATGCACACACACATGCACACACACATGCACACACACATGCACACACTCATGCACACACTCATGCGCACACACACATGCACACTCTCATGCACACACTCATGCACACACACATGCACACACTCATACACACTCATGCACACACACATGCACACACTCATGCACACTCTCATGCACACACTCATGCACACTCATGCACACACACATGCACACACTCATACACACTCATGCACACTCTCATGCACACACTCATGCACACTCTCATGCACACTCTCATGCACACTCTCATGCACACTCTCATGCACACACTCATGCACACACACATGCACACACTCATACACAC